GGGGGGGGCTGTGGTATAGAACCGGGCGTGGTGGTGAGAGGAGAGGCATGTCTCGCAGCGCCCTCGCATACAAATGGCAAATTGGGCGCGGTGTGCTTCATGACTAATGTTTGGCGAGGCCGGCCCTCCGGCTGGGCCGGGCCCCTGGGCCGCCCTGCACTGCGGGGGTGCGGCGCCGGGCCACTGCTGCTAGCGTTCCCAAAGTTGAGCTCGATTAAGTTCTATTTCGCTTTTTGCCTCACTTCACATGGCTCTTAACGCCATGAGACACCGCGCAAAAAGTAAAATCGGATGCGTTCGAGTGGAAATGACCAACGGGATGATGAGGCTTCTTTTAAAGACGATGAATCTCGGAACACAATTGGTCGGCTACACATTTAATGCCAAATTTCGACATCATTCTTGTAGAGGAGGCCACATGTATTTGTTTCTATACGGAGGTGCGCTAGCGCTCCGCGCTAGCTCCCTCCATGGAGGAAGTATGGGGAGCACCCAGGCCTCTGAGCCGTGCCAACACCAGCCACCACAGCAACACAAGTCAGTGATTGTTTTGCTTTTGTCTGTTTTCTTCGACAGCTCTCCCTAACACGCCTAATTTTCCTATTTAACCGTTCTCTGTCGTCTTTTAGAAATTCCACACAGTGCCTGGCCCTCTTGGCCCTCTTGGGTGTGCTGAAATCGCCTGGAGTTATGTCTCCGGGGTACCGTTTACGCTTGTTTGGTACTCGTTCGGCCGGTGTTTTGAGAGTACTGCTGCAACAACAAATAAGAATATTACAAAAATTAATTCCGGAACTTCTCTGCCGAATGGAACCATGCGAGGGGGCCACCACTCGCGTGATCCTGTGTACAGATGAGGGTGTAATCCCTATGTAATCTTTATGTATTCCGAGTAATACTTCACCAAATTTTTAAACATTATAGCTAAATTTCACCTTCTGGTCCAAATTTAATGGTTTTAGAGCCAGAAATTCAACAAAACTCAAGTGTAATCCCTCAAAATTCACGTGTAATCCCTGTAATCACGTAATCCTGTGTACATTCTAAATCAAGTAAGTGGTAGCCCCCTCGGAACCATGGCATTAAATATTAAGTAGAACGGGTAAACGGAGCAAGGGCTGCATGGCAGACTGCACTTACCTGGCTTTAGGCCCTGATCTGGGTGTGTTGTGTTCATTAACACTTCTCGTTGACAAATCCAAAGGTACTTGGGGGTTCTCTGTGATGCAACTGGTTGGCCTTAGAAAAAAAGGGACATAATTTTCAGAAATATTTATTTGGGTTAGAAAATAAATGTAATAAAATATAAACTTACACAGGGCCCAAGAGCGGGTTTGATGACTTATCAACACATACTGTAGTAGCAGAATTCGACCAAGTCTCGTCGCGTTGTGTGGCGTGACACGCCTGTGAAGAAGTCTGCCCCTCGGGGTTGCTAACAAGGTTGTTACCGACGAGCACAGATAAAGAAACAGAGCTGGTACTTGGCAGGAAACCCATCCGAAACAAATTTGACAGATCACATCTAGATAATAAACAAAATAAAAATGACACGTTTTTTCATAAATCCCACTTAAATTTCTGATGCAGTAAATAGTAAGGTGTCATGCACTCACTCAGGGATCAAGGTTGGGACTGCATCTGGTTTAAGTAGACCATTTTCCTGGTAACACTCTTTCAAAAAGTGCTTGTTACACAACCGTGAACTTGGTTTTGAAGAAAAGGGTGATTGATTTACAGTAGACACCCATTTTTCCCACTCCTTTCTCCTTTGCTCATCTTTAGGAAACCTAATCGGCACGACAAAATACGCCCGAGCAATTAGTGCAAACAAATAGCAATGTACTACAAGGTAAAAACAATGTCTCATTTTTTAGGGAAAAAGGAAAACTTTGAGAAACTCTCCTGGTTTGACGAAAACTTCTCAGATTTCGAGGAAGTCTCCGCGGAAAATGTGGGACTTTTCCTCATTTTTTGAGAAGATTCCTCAAAATCTGAGGCAAGATCGGAGGACCTCTCCTCCAACATGGGAGTTCCTCAAATAAGTTTTCCCTTTTTCCTCAAAAAATGAAACATTGGTTTTACCGTGTACCCAGCCTGCTGTGACGCCCGTCCACGTGATCTGTTTCGGCGTTAGAGTTAAGTTACGCTACCCCCCCCCCCCTTTTTGTCATGAAGCCATGGCTCCGGGGGGCCGGGGGGGGGGGATTTTATGTGGTGTATGCGTATTTTGTAATGGCAGTAATGGCTGCTGAAGCTCTGATAATTTAGTACTCACCTATGGATTCTCCTCCTTTCTTTGGCCGATTTCACACACAATTTTAAACAGCAGGCGCTCATTGTTAAACCGGCACAGGAGACACGCACACGTCCGATCACTGTCTATCCCTGCGACACACTGGCCGTCCAGCTTGCCCTTAGGCTGGCTGAAGTCTGTGACTCACGCTTACTTATGTGACGTCACGCCCCCACGTGGACACATTCCTGTACACTACGTCGACGTTTTCGGTTCAAAATCGGCCTACGACCACAATTAAAATTGGGTTTGAAAGAGAAAAATGCGAATAGAACGGTGGTGTGGGAAAAAAAATCGTCATGGGAACACTCTTCTACGAATTTGAAGGTAAAGAATTAGTGGGGTGGAGTGGGGTCGGGTTGCGGTGATAAAAGCGTCCGGCCGCTACCGGCCGCCGCCGGTGCTGACGAAGTCAAAACAATCCCTGACTTGAGTTGCGGTGGTGGCTGGCGGAGCAGCCACACGTACACTGTTTTTCAACGAATGTGACATTACATTCCTTGAATAACAGTGTATTCGGCAATCGGCCACCGCGACATTTGGCACGCGGCCGTACCGTGGGCCGGTATAGGCAGTGCTCCTCCACGTCTAATATACTTATTCCTCCATGGCGGCGAGCGCCTGTCGGGCCGACGTTAGGCAGCCCGGTGGGCGCGAGCGCCACGGTGCTGCCTATCCCCCGCGGGGTCCCGGGCTGCACCGGCAGGGGCGGGCGCCCACACTGCAACAAATCAGCGGATCAAATGGAAAATAATGTATGTTTTTAGGCATTCTAGGCCGTCTTCTCTACGAGCAAGAGATTTATCCCTGGAAGCCCCTCTTTGCTCTCCCCTGCCACGTCTCCTATATCAACGGGGTCTGTCTCTGACTGTCTGTCTGTCTGTCTGTCTGTTGTCTGTCTGTCTGTCTGTCTGTCTGTCTGTCTGTCTGTCTGTCTGTCTGTCTGTCTGTCTGTCTGTCTGTCTGTCTGTCTGTCTGTCTTCTGTCCATCCATCCGTCTATCTGTCTGTCTGTCGTGAAGGCGACGCGTGCGTGCTCGCGCTGGTGCGGAGTTGCAGCATGAAGGAAGTATATTGGACGTGGAGGGAGCGTGGCGGCGTGCCGAGAAGTCGCGGTGGCCGACTGCAGAATACGTGGGGCTGCTCCGCCAGCCACCACCGCAACACCAGCCAGGGATTGTTTTGACTTCGTCAGGCCCTTGCCGAGCAACGAGGTCAGCCCGGACGGACGTTTTATGACCGTAACCCGACCAAACACACACTCCACATTTTCTAATTCATACACACTAAATCCTTATGCACTTTGTTGTGCATCAAACTTGCAGAATTTCAATTTCATACAGCCATAATATTATGAACAATTTTGTGCATAACTGTGTACATTGTGCGCATAATTATGCATATTTCGTACACAATTATGCGCGCAATTATGCATAAAACTTTGTACAAACTTATGGCTGTATAAAATTCTGCAAGTTTACGCACAGCAAAATGCATAAGGGTTTAGTGTGTCGAAGGGGTTTTCCTGGGACGATTTTTTTTTCATACCCCCGTTTTCTCCACATTTTTCTACTAAAAACCCAATTTCAATCGTAGTCCTAGGACGGTTTCAAACCGAAAACGCCGACTTATAGTGCCAATGAGCGCGCAGAGGGAAGCAGACTGAGCAGTCATGCTTTTCTGCGCCAGGTTCCGGTTGGCTTGCAGAGAAATACCCTGTTCCCATGCGTGTCTAACTGCGCCCTTTTGGTATGAGTGTCTGCTGTTTAAAATGGTGTGTGAGGTAGCCCAATGAGAAGAGGAGAGTCCACAGGTAAGTACTAAATTGATAGAGCTTTAGCAACCGTTAGGAAATACGCATACACCACGTGATCTGTCTGGGAGCGGACAGGTCAAAAGTCGAAACAACTTGCCCCC